CCGGGGGCAGCTGCCCCGCCGCCCCTGCACCCCTGATCCCGGACCAGCGCCCACCCCCGAGTCTGCGACCCCGTTCCCAGCATGGGCAGCTGCCTCCCCTGAGGACCACGGTGCAGCGGAGGCGAGTCCGAGAGAGTGTCCTGCTCAGGGCACGGCCAGCGTCACGCTGTGACAGGAGCAGGAACTAGGAAGCGCGTGGCAGGAGACCAGGCAAGACCGGCGGGGGAGGAAGAGGTGCGTCTCGGTTGGCATTTTGAAAACGCCTTCTGAAGAGGACCCGAGCGGAGTCTGCTTTCCACGTGGCAGAGGCGCGGCACGCACGGGGCCTGCCTTGCAACGAGGGGGGGTGGGGGGGTGCTTGTGGGGAAGTGGCCCGCGTTGAGGAGGCGCTGACCCACACTCCGCTCTGAGGACCGAAGGGAAGGTGAAGGCGAGTCCACTTCTCAGAGCGTTCAGTACGACCCCAGAACACGGAGACACAGAGACGATCTGAAGGGAGAGCCCGACGGCCGCCCGGCACGGCCTCCAGGCGGGTGGAGGCAAACTGGGGGCCGGGGGGAGTGCGGGATTCTCCAGTGCAGGGCGAAATGGCTCCGCTGGGGCTCTGCCCGCAGTGCGAGGGGCCCAGATGGAGAGACGCGGGTCCTGGCCGTCCTCTCCGACGGGGTTGCTAGATGTTGTGCTTCAAGAAGAGAAGCGAGCATGTGCCGGGGGAGGGCTGTGGGTGTTCAGGGCCGAGTGCACCCTAAACATAAGCTTCAGCCGGAACTTGGGGTGACTGGGCATTGGGGACGTACGGTGTCTTTCGAGAGAGGGGTTTGTTCCGTGGGTGGTTAAGTCACAGCAGGACCCCAGTGAGGAGGAGAACATAAAGTCACTTGGTCCTGCATTTGGGGGGAAAGTGTGCTTGCTTATGTGTTTCAAGGAGCAAGGTGTACCCCAAACATGGACTGCGACCACTGAAGAATATGCATGTCATCTCTAGTCTCCAACCTCACAGGAAAAAGAGAAGGGAACCTCTATTTAACGGAAACGCCAACATCAAGCAGAAAAGGAAGAAAAACAAGATGTGGGGGGAAAAGGATGTCAAGTAAGATGCTCAGAAGGGTCCCGAGGAGCCCAGAGCTGACAGCTGGAAGGACGAGGGGTACCTGGAACCTGCACCCAACACACAGGCTCTGGGTGCTCTTCTGAAACCTGCAACTTTTCAAAAAGTTGACCATATATGGAAAGTTGCGCTAAATTTTAAGCAATCCGTTTCATGCAAGCCACGGTCTTTGACCCGGTGCGATTAACCCCGAAGTCCACAGGAAGAGTTCAGAGACGTCAGCAGGCACTGTAGCGCACACCCTCGCTCACGCTGGGGCTGGAGAGGAATTCAGGGAAGCGCGGTTCCTGGGAAAGGCACAGGATCGGAGCGGGCACAGGTGGGAAGTCGCGCCCTGCTGGTTACAGAGCTCAAGACTACGTGTCTGAGCTTTGAAAGAAAGTGAAAAACTGAAATGAGAAGATGAAAGACTCCAGGGCGAGGAAGCAAGGAGTTAGCAAGATGAAGGTCAGACATTACGGAGACGATGGAGGCGGTACCGATGGACAGGAACCCGCTCGGAAGCCAGCCTCGGGCGCAGGCGGACACGGGGCAGGAAGGAAGATGGAAACCACGCGGAGCGCATCCGAGAGGCCGGCATCGAGACCCTGCAGCCGCCGGCGAACAGCACATGGCCCAGGGCTGTGAAATTGGGAGGGCATGGCCGCTGCACTGCAAAAATACAGAAATAGCACTGCACCGGCGCTGGCGAGGGCGTGGGCCGCGCAACGCCAGGCTTCCCGGTGGGAACGCCACCTGGTGCAGCCTCCGTGGGAGACGGCTTGGCAGTGTCTCACACAACGAGACCCAGTGTCGCCGCAGGACCCAGCAGGTGTGCTCGGCGGTGTGCGCCCCTCGGAGCTGAGCCTGTAGGTCACACGCCCCCGCACGTGGCGGTTACGGCAGCTCTGCTCGCAGGCGCCAGGCCCGGGAGCAGCGGGGAAGCCCTGGAGGAGGGCGGGGGCAGGTGAACGGGTCCACGCGGACGTAGTGCGGTGAAGAGCAGAGCTGAACCACACGCCGGCCTGGAGGAACCTGCGTGCAGGGCGCTCGGTGAGAGGGGGTGTTGAAGGCCGCCTGCCGGGAATTCCGACTCCGTGACCTGAGAGAGGCAAAGCGGCGGGGACAGCAGGAGGACCGGAGGTTTGGGGGCGAGGGATGGGCCTAGAGCAGAGGGGACGTCCACAGCAGAGACAGCACGGGACAGAGGCCCGGCCCCGCATCCGTCCTCCCTCTGCGTCCTCACCGCCCTGGTGTCTGTGGTGGGCCAGCTGGGGCGCCCTCCTCCCGGCTCCCCACGCCCGCCCTTACCCTCGTGTGCCCGACACCCAGTTCAACGCTCGGGGTCCTCTCACCTAGACACTCGGGGCGCGGGCGGCATTGGGCAAAGATGTGGGGCTGCTCTCCCGCCCCAAACGTCCGAGCGTCGTCCGGTGCGGATGACAGACCCTCGCGGTGCCACGGCTCGGACGGAGAGCCACCCACTCCCGCCAGGGTCCTGATGCACAGAGTGGAAGTCTCCGGTGACTCCTCCCGCGCTTCCCCCGGGCAGAGGCAGTTCTCTGGTGGCTCCTGAGTCCTCGCTGACAGTTGTTATGGGGACAGACCATCCGTAACGTGAAATGACCAGCCAGGCGTGCAGTGAGGGCCCCGTCCTGTGTGCGGTGTGGGGCCCGCACCACTGTCCGACGGAAGACCTTCTCCCGCAGACGGAGCTCCATTCCCGCCCGGCAGGAACCCCGCTGCGGGCACCCGCTCCTGCCTCCGAACCCGCCTGCCCCGGCCCCTTACCTCCTGGCGGTGGAATCCCACGTGTGTCCCTTCGTGCCTGGCTTGCTTCACGGAGCCCAGCGTCTCCAGGGCTCGTCCTGGTGGCAGGAGGTGGCAGGGTTTCCGCCCTTTCAGGGCCGGGCGTCGCCCGCTGCACGTGTAGACCGCTCTCGGCTTCTCTGTCCGGCTGCCAGCCAGCCCCGGGGTTGCTTCCCCCTTTTTGCTCCTGTGAAGAACACGGCTGCGAGCGTGGGGGTGCAGACACCTGTCCGAGCCCCTGCTCCCCGTTCCTGTGTGCACATCTTATACTTAGGACTGGAGTTGCCGATGACAGCGATCCTGTGTAGCCTTTTCTCGACGATGCTTTTGCGATGTGACGTCTCAGAGAATCGTTATTTCTAGTTTTATTTTTATTTCTTGTTTTGTTACTCCTCACCCGAGGGTGTTTTTTTTAGAGAGCGTGAAGGGGGGGGGGGCAGAGAAACACCGATGTGAGAGAGACACATTGATTGGTTGCCTCCCACATGTGCCCCAACGAGGGACGGGGATCGAGCCTG